CTTTTAGGAATTCCTGCTTTCTCCTCATGTCTTGGTGTCTGGAATATAGTCTGAAAGTGTACTCTGCCCAAGAAATATGTCTTCCCATGAAGCCCTGGTGTGATGCTGTAGAATAAGCACTGGACCATAAGGTCGGTTTGAACCAAAAAGCCAGTGGTTCAAACTCATCAGTTGGTCCTCAGAAACCCTATATAGGGTCTCTATGAGTCAGAAATGACTCAATAGCACTTAACAATAACAACAACATGCTGCAAAGGTTCTGGGTTTCACTATTACTCTGAGGACTTCTTACTAGGAATACCTCATGTACATGTAAGATAACATTCTGCCTTGAAAGTGGGTTCTAATATGAGGAAAAGAGCACTAAAAATGAGTTTTCATGCAAACAATTCAAAACAAAATACCTAGTAACAACAATTATTCTTATACAAATTACAATCATTTGCCAGATACCTGTCAGAGAACATTATGGAGACATAAATTTTAAGGTTGCTACTAACTTCTGTTGGTGCCCTTGTGGAGTAGTGGGTTACATGTTTGACTGTTAACCACATGGTCAGCAGTTCAAATCCACCAGTTGTTCTATGCAAGAAAGATGAGGCTTTCTATTCCAGTAAAGATTTACACTGCCACTTATCTGTCAATTTGCCATACTGTGGTGGCTTGTGTGTTGCTGTGATACTAGAAACTATATCACTGGTATTTTAAATGCCAGCAATATCACCCAAAGTGGATGACATTGACTAAGCTTCTAGACAAAAAAAAGAAGACTATGAAGACTATGAATATTTAGTAACTGAAAACCTGATGAACATCAGTGGAAAACAGTTATATAGCATCAAAATATTGATTACTAAAAAATGATGACGAGCACCAGAATGTTTTCAGATATAGTACCAGAAGATGAGCCCCTCAGATAGGAAGGATCTCAAAATATGACTGAGGAAGAGCTGCCTACTCAAAGTAGAGTTGACTGTGATGATGCAAATGGAGTAAAGCTTCCCGGACCGTCATTTCCTGCCAGGGCACATCTCAAAATGAGGAGAAACAACTGTAAACATCTATTAGTAATTGGAACATGGAATATGTAATGTACAAAGTATGATTCTAGGAAAATTGGAAGTTGTCAAAAATGAAACGGAACACATAAACACTGATATCCTAGGCATTGTTGTTGTTGTTAAGTGCTGTCGAGTCGATTCCGACCCATAGTGACCCTGTATAGGGATTCCAAGGAGCAGCTGGTGAGCTTGAACTACCAACCTTACAGTTCAAACGGCTTTGCAGTCTGGTGCATTAACCCACAGTGCCACACTAGGACTCCTAGGCCTTAGTAAGATGAAATTTGAAACTGACAACCACATGTATGCCAGGAATGACAAATTGAAGAGGAATTTGTGTTGTCCATCAAAAAGAACATTCAAGATTCATCTTGAAGTACAATGCTGTCTGTGATAGAATAATAGCCAGATGCCTACAAGGAAGACCAGTTAATACAACAATTATTCAACTTTATATACCAACCACAAGAGCCAGTGATGATGAATTTGAAAAATTCTATCAACTTCTTTAGTCTGGAATTGACCAATCATGTAATCAAGATATATTGATAACTATTTGATTTAAATGTGAAGATTGGCAACAAAGAGGAAGGATCAGTAGTTGGAAAATATGGCCTTAGTGATAGAAGCTATGCTGAAGATCCCATGACAGAATTTTGCAAGACCAATGACTTCTTTGTTGCATGTACCTTTTTAAAACAATATAAAACATGACTATAGGCATAGATCTGAACAGATGGAATATACAGAAATCAAACAGACTACATCTGTGGAAAGAGATCGCAGAAAAGTTCCATATCATCAGTCAAAATAAGGCCAGGAACAGACTGTGGAACAGACCATCAATTGTTCATATACATGTTCAGGTTGAAGCTGAAGAAAATGAAAACAAGTCCATGAGAGCCAAAATGTGACCTTGAACATATCCCACCTGAATTTATCTCAATCAGATCATCTCAAAAACAGATTTGATGAATTAGACATTAATGACGGAAGACCAGAGAGTTGTGGGATGACATCAAGAACATCATAGAGGAAGAAAGCAAAATCTCATTAAAGAGACAAGAAAGAAAGAAAATACCAAAATGGATGTCAGAAGAGACTCTGAAACTTCCTCTCCAATGTAGAGATGCTAAAGCAAATGGAAGAAATGAGGAGACTAGAAAATTTCAAAAGGCAGCTAGAGAAGACAAAGTCAAATATTGAAACAAAATGTGCAAAGATCTGGAGATAGAAAACCAAAATGGAAGAACATGCTCAACATTTTTCAAACTAAAAGAACTAAAGAAAAAAAAACAAGTGTCAAGTTGCAATACTGAAGGATTCTATAGGCACAATATTGAATGATACAGAAAGCATCAAAAGTAGATGGAAGTAGGAGGAAATGCGGTTAAATTGCTACAGTTTGATGAACCTGACCTATACTCATGGAGGTAGTAACTCTAAATATCAACAGAGAGGGACGAGTCTTCACATTAAGTATCAATGCTATCCCTTCTGTAAACAGGGCAGATAGGGATGGGCAACTTAAACATTGGCTACCTAAAATGAGGGGGTGATAAAGGCACAAAGTGACTGGCTTACAAGGTTTCAAGGGGGAGTTTAGGTTAATAGTGTGTGAAGGAAGAAAGAGTCGCTACTGAATAGTTTTCATCGTGTCTAGATGGGTGTCTAGTTAAAAGAGATGGAGTTAAGATTCTTATGATTCAATAGTGAGCAATTGTTATCATGACTAATTGTAACTGTCACAATTGTAAAGGTAGAAGTTTTGTAACAAAAACAGGGGAGTAGCTAATCTTACAGTCCAGAAACAAGGACCCTAGGATCATCAAGGAAGAAGAGCACACGCGGAATGCAAAGACCTTATCCAGAAAAGCAGCAACACTAGAGATGGAGGCAGAGATGGGGACATGGAGAGAGGGAGCAGCTGAGGACTCTAGATTCATGGGAAGAGAGGGACTAAGAGCTGGTGGCCAGGAGGCAGACTTGCAGAATGTGACCTTTGGTGGTGTAAATTATTCTATATGCCTGAGTGTTTAAAAAACAAAAAAAGTGCTAAAGTGAATAGAGAGAAACATTGTTAACTGATGGTACATGGAGGGGATTATAATCATTGTAATGAAACAAGCTGTATGAATTGTTGAATGTAAAACTGATGATCTTCCCTTTAAACTTTCACTGAATCCACAATAAAAACCTTAAAAAAAAAAAAAGAAGAAGATGGAAGAAATACACAGTCACTGAACCAAAAAGAAATGGTCGATGTTCAACCATTTCAAGAGGTAGCATATGATCAAGAGTAAATGATACTGAGGGGAAAAGTCCAAGGTGCACTGAAGGCATTGGCAAATAAGGCTCTGGGAATTGATGGAATAGAAATTGAAATCTTTCTACACATTGATGTGGCATTGGAGGCACTTAACTCATCTATGACAAGACATTTGGAAGACAGCTACCTGGTCAACTGATCCGAAGGTATCTATATTTGTGCCCATTCCAAAGAGAGGTGACCTAATAGAATGTGAAAATCATGGAACAATATCATTAATTTTCATGCAAGTAAAATTTTGCTAAAAATAATTTTTAAATGGCTGCCGCAGTACATTGACAGGAGTGCCAGAGATTCAAGTCAGATTCAACAAGGACGTAGAATAAGTTGTATCATTGCTGACATCAAATGGACTTAGCTGAAAGCAGATAATACCAGAAAGATGTTTATCTGTGCTTTGTTGACTACACAAAGACTTTTGACTGTGCAGATGATGACAAGCTATGAACAACATTGCAGAGAATAAGTATTCTGGAACACTTAATTGTGCTCATGAGGAACCTGTACATAGACCAAGAGGCAGTCGTTTTAATGAAACAAGGGACCACTGACTGAATGGTTTAAAATTAGGAAAGATGTATGCTATGGTTGTATTTTTTCTCTATACTTATTCAATCTGTATGCTGAGCAAATAATTCAAGAAGCTGGATTATATGAAGAAAAACATGGCATCAGCATTGAAGGAAGACTCATTAACATCCTGCTATGAGCAGATGATACAACCTTGCTTATTGTAAGTGAAGAGGACTGAAAATACCTATTAATGAAGATAGAAGACGACAGCCTTCAGTATGGGTTACACCTCAATGTAAAGAAAACAAAAATCCTCAACATTAGATCCATCAAGACAAATGGAGAAAAAAATTGAAGTTGCCAAAGACTTCATTTTGCTCAGATCAACCATCAGTCATGAACACTCAACATTTATCAATCAGGATAAATGGAGAAAAGATTGAAGTTGTCAAAGACTTCATTTTGCTTAGATCAACCATCAACACCCATGAAACAATGGCCAAGAAATCAAATGATGTATTGCATTTGGCAAATCTGCCGGTCAAGACCTCTTTAAAGTATTCAAGAGCAAAGTTGCCAGTTCAAGGACTTAGATGCAATGGATCGAAGCCATGGTATTTTCAACAATCTCATATGCATGTGAAAGTTGGACAATGAATAAAGAATACAGTAGAAGAACTGATGCATTTGGGATATGGTGCTGGAGGAGAATATTAAAAGTACCATAGACTGCCAAAAGAACAAGCAAATCTGTGTTAGAAGAAGTATATCCAGAATGTTCCGCAGAAGCCAGGATGGCCAGACTTCTCTCATACTTCAGACATATTATCAAAAGGGACCAGTCCTGAGGGATTGGTAAAGTGGAGGGTCAGTGCAAAAGAGGACAACCCCAATGAGATGGATTGGCACAGTGGGCTCAAGCATAGCAAAGATTGTGAAGTTGACACATAAGGTCACTAAGAGTCAATACCAACCTGATGGCACCTAATAACAATGATCATCTGTGGGAAAATGTCAGTACCCTCCTCCACTAATACCCCAAGTAAATAAACATTCAGCCAGTCTTCTGTAATGTGAGTGAATTCATTTATGGTTACTTACTTTAAACCTGATTTCCTGATCCTAGTCATGTACTTGTCTGGGTAGGCAGCACTCATTACTGTAGTATAAATTGTGGCACTGAAATTAATGAGAGGAATTTTTATTTGCATCACTTCCTGAATATTCTAAAAAGGGGGAACACAATACTAAACCCCTCCCTAATACCTGACACCTAGAACAAGATAGTAGAATATTGAAAAATTATAAATAAAGTTACCATTCAAACAGTGTTCTTTCCTCTGACAACGGTATGGAAAGCCAGGTGAGAATATAAAATTCTCAGACTCCTCAGAGTTTCACACTGTGGTGGTTAGGGAGAGCAAGCCTAGATTCTCACCTATGGTCTGCCCACTACTCTTCTCACCCCAGACTCTGTCCTACCCCTCACAGGACCTTGCATGAATATATGTAGACACTTTCACCTTCAGTCTGCAAGTCATCCATATTCCCAGCAAACAACCACCTCTTGTTTACCCATCAGGAGAAGATCATCCAGGGAAGAGACCTGCACAGGCTCTGGAAATGGGCTTGGAGCTATAATTGCTGAGAAATGTAGAGTCTTAAATTCTTGGACTCCTTAGATTAAGAGAGGGTCACATATAGAGGAAAGCCAGAGCAGAGTGGGCTCCTCTAAAGCTAATGGACCAAGGCAGGGTTCCCTCTTGCCCAGGTCTAAGGGTGGTACTGAAAAGTTCTATTTCATTTATTCAGCATGCTGCATTGGAAGAGACCCAAACTACTTGAATACATGTGCACACATGCATGCATACACACTCTAGGACCCACCCCTTTCCCCCGCTCTTCTACCAGTTGTCTTGGGTACCAGTTGGAATGCACCATTTCTGCTCAAAGCATTTAGAAACGGGTTGTTCAGGTGTAGGCAGAATTAGTGGCACTATGTCCCAAGATAACAGTAGACCTGGAGACAGCATTATGAGCACATGTGAAACTCACATCCAGGAGGGATGGAGGTTCCCTGAACAGGACCTGCTTAAGTCTATTCTCTATCTCTGCTTTGGTATTTTCTCTGCTTATACTCGATGGCACTTAACAACAACAACAACAACATAGCCAAAGCACTGGACTGCTAACCACAAGGTCAACAGATCAAACCCACAGTGGCTCCAAAAGAGACAGATGAAGCTGTATGCTCCTGTAAAGATCTGCAGTCTCCGAAATCCTACACAGGGTCACTGTGAGTTGGAATGAACTCTATGGCAGTGGATTTTGATTGTAGTTGCATACAAGGGTGGAATTCTATCGCAGGTGAGTGTAATTTGTAGTTCAGCACAAAGGGGGACAGCAGAGAGCTAACTGTTAATGTTCTCCTGTCCTCCAGTCAATTCTGACTCATACTGACCCTATGTAGGATATTGAGGCTGTTGTTGTTAAGTGCCGTTGAGTCAATTCCAACCCATAGCGACCCTGTACAGGGTTTCCAAGGAGCAGCTGGTGAGCTTGAACCACTGACTTTGCAGTCTGACACATTAGCCCACAGTGCCACACTGTAGTGTAGTGGTTATGCTTGGGCTGCTGACTTCAAGGTCAGCAGTTCGAATTTATCAGCCATTCCGCGGAGGAAGATGACACTTTCTGCTCCCGTAAAAACTGACTGCCTTGGAAACCCTATACAGGGTCACTATGGAGTCCTGTTGTGGCCCAGTACGATAAGAACTGGACGACAAGTTTGGTTTGAACCACAGGTCGGAAGTTCAGACCCACCAGCTGCTCCTGGAAACGCTATACAGAGTCACTGCGAGTAGGAATCAACTTGACAGCACTTAACCACAACAACACAGTACACCACCACCAAATCTTTTACTGTTTTTAGTACCATTGACTCATAGCAACACTGTCTATGGTTTCCGAGAAGTGGCTGATGGGTTTGAACCGTCGACCTTGTCATTAGCAGTCCAGTGCTTATTCTACAGTGCTACCAGGGCTCCTTTGGTGGTGATTCAGATTCCATATGCTTTTTGAACCCCCTTAGTTGATGCTAGTGCTACTTTGGAGTCCTGGTGTGGTGCTGTAGGATAAGAACCACAAGGTTGGCGACTCAAACCCACCAGTCGCAGTGAGGGTCATTATGAGTCAGCATTGACACAGCAGTACATCACAACAATAGTTAATGCTAACTGCTACATGCAAACAGCCTGAGAGTAGGGCAGGGGATCTGTGTAACCTCGCTCCATGAGGATTATCATTTAAATACAGTTCCTCTTGGGTTTTCAATCATAATAATGTTTTTACAATTTTAGCCTTGATTTAAAAAAAACATTACAGGAGCTTTTTAAACACTCAGCTCCTAGAACTCAGTAATCCTACTTCTAACAATTCAGCCAAAGGAAATAATCCCAAAGAAAGGGAAAATGGACAAATATGCTTATGTCAGTTTTAAAAGAGGAAAAACTAACGGAGAATAGTTAGCTCAGTAATAGTACATCCTATTGGCCATCACGCTCAGTAAGTAGAGAGTCAATGGAAAATACAAAGATCCTCAGTAAGGTGGATTGGCACAGTGGCTGCAACAACAAGCTCAGACTTAGCAATGATCGTAGGATGCTGTCAGTACTGGACTGTGTTTCATTCTGTTGTACGCAGGTTCATTTAGGGTCAGTACCGACTTGCCAGCACATAGTAACAACACTGGCCATAACAGTTATTTTAAAATATACTTACAAAATCTGTACAAGTAACATGGGAAAATGTTTGAGTTAAAATAAGAGTTATTACTGTTATGATGCTGTTGTTAAGCGCCGTCAAGTCAGTTCTGACTCAAGAAGCAACTGGTGAGTTTGAACCACCAATTTTGTGGTTTAAACCAATCTTGTGGTCCTGTGCTTATCCAGCACCATACCAGGACTAAAAGATTTCTTAGTCTTTTATTTACATAACCATAAAACACACACACAAGGAGTCCTAGTGTAGCACTGTAGGATAAGCACTGGATAGCAAGGTCAGTTTGAACTGTAAGATCGGCCATTCAAACTCACCAGTCACTCCTTGGTAACCCTATACAGGGTCACTATGAGTCAGAACCAACTCGATGGCACTTAAAAACAACAATAAAATAGGTTTTTAATGCTATTTTAAAATAAATATTGAAGAGGCAAAATTGCACCTCCACTGTGCTATGTAAGAGTGTTTCCCGCTGAGAAGAGTGACCTCAGTGGTGCACGGGAGCTGACTCCCCAGCTGGTGAGCTGCTAACTACGCAGGATTTTAACAGTTAACTGTATGCGTGAAATTGGCCCCCATGGATGGAAATTGACAAATGCTACAAATCTGGGTTTGGGTGTGTGCTTTTGGTTTTAGTTTGTTTTTTGAGTTGGGATGAATACACTATCACTCTTTTCCTTCCTCATCACTTTATTCTTCTTACCTTTGCTTGTTCACAAGATTTATGAACTTTTTTGAGGGGATTTCAAAGACTCTTTTTGAATTCCCCTGGTATTTGTTTAGTTTCTGCCACAGCTCACTAGAACATGAGTCCTGTGAGAGCTGGCATTGAGATGTGTTCAGTCTTCTAAACCCAGCACCTAGAGAGCCTGGTCCATGGGAGGCCTCAGATCATTGCTAAGCAAAAGAGTGTGTTTGTGAATGAATTCACCATTCTGGTGGGACTTATGAACAGATATGTTTAATGTGTCACTTACTTGTTATAAACTGGTTTTACTGATAAAACCTGCATAGAAAGAAAATAATTTTAGATTAAAAGCTATAACAAATATATGTGAAATACATATCTATAGGAAGAATGAACCCAATTAACACTTCGCTGAATCTTAGGGTGGTAGAACTATACATATAACAAATCCTTTCTAATTTTATTTCTTTAAAACAACAAGCATATATTTCAATTAGGCCCACTTTGAAAAACATGAGGTGGATTATTTAACTCATACATAAACAGGTTTAGAAAGTGTTAGCTGACTTTTTGTTTGTTTGTTTAATGTTTGCAAGCGGCTAAACAGTCAGAACACTTTCATCTACCACATCTGTCTTTTAATGCTTGTGATTTTAGAGAATTTTAAAGACTATTATTATTACCAAACACCAAGAACTCTGGGTAAAAACTGGATATGGCAACACAGGTACCTGGAACAGTGTCTCCAGACTGAGGTTTGCCTGACCGGTGGCATTAAGGGCTTTGATGGCAGGCGTTCTGAAAAGACAGCAAGTGGTCAAAGGTCACTTAGCACTGCACATAATCCTTTGTCCCATCAGCTCTCCTTTGGGGAGACAATACACAAGGCATACCTCCATTATCTCCCTTTCCCCAAAACATGTTCTGGCCCCCAAGCAAGTTTTCTGCTTAGGCCCAGTCCAGCATGCTGAAATCAATCCAACAGCTTGGCCCTCGACTCCATCTGCTCAAGGGAGTCATGGGGAGACAGGGGGAGGACAAAAATGGACAAATGTGTTTACGACAGTTTTAACAGAGGAAAACTAATAGTTAGAAACTCGTTACCTCAGTAATATAGTACCCCCTGGTCTACAGAATCGAACACCTGTATCACAATCTTAAGGCAGTAAAAAGGAGGTACTAAGCAACTACTTACTATTTGGAGACATTAAGTCAATTCCAATTCATAGCAAATCAATATAAGGTTTCTGAGATGAAATCTTAACAGGAATAGAAAACCTCATCTCTCTCCTGTGGAGTAACTGGTGGATTTGAACCACTGACCTTGCAGTTAGCAGCCCAGTGCTTTTCCTACAGTGCCACCAGGGCACCTTATCTAGGGACATCATTGTCGTTAAGTGCCATTGAGTCAGTTCCGAGTCATAACGACCTAGCATAGGGTTTCTGAGGAGCAGCTGGTAGGTTTGAACTAGAGACCTTGTGGTTTGCAGTCGAGTGCTGATTCTACAGTACCACACTTAGGCTTAGCACCTTAGGTGTTATACAGTTGAACAGCTCCATTGGGTTTTCTTGTGGTGCTGTGGTATAAAGCAATGGTCCACAAGGTTGGTTTGAACTACTAAGTCGGAAGTTCAAATTCACCAGCCACTCCTTGGAAACCCGGTACAGGGTCACTATGAGTCAGAACCAGCTCAATGGCACTTAACAACAAAAATATTTACAGAAGCAGTTCGACAGGCCTTCCACGAAGATGCTAGGTAGGTTCAAACTGCCAACCTTAAGGTTAGCAGCCAGTCGCAAACCTCTTGGGTCACTCAGGGTCTTTGGCTTCTAGTGTAAGGACCAAACTGATTTTACCTGATTTTGCCTACCTAGAGACTGCTTGACTAAACTCTAGTCAGGCTCAGGAAAGCATTTTAAATAGACAAGGCCTCAGTTTTTAGTTCCCTCCAGAGACAAGGTCAATCTCCATTCTGTACATTAGCCTGAACACATCCTCTAGCTCCAAG